AATGAAGGCAGGAGCCGGCCATGCAAACACCTGGAGAAGCAACGTCTAGGCAGAGGGAAGAGGAAGCAAGGTCTCCAGCCAGGTTTGAAGACTAGCAAGAGGCTGGTGTAGACCGGGCATGGTGGCTCACACCTGAAATCCTAGCACTTTGGGAGGCCAAGGTGGGCAGATCGCCTGAGCCCAGGAGTTCAAGACCAACCTGGGCAACATGGTGAAACTCCATCTCTACAAAAAACACAAAAATTAGCTGGGCATGGTGGCACACACCTGTAGTTCCAGCTACTCAGGAGGCTGAGGTGGGAGGATCACCTGAGCCGTGGGAGGTTGAGGCTGCAGTGAGCCTTGATCGTGCCACTGTACTCCAGCTTGGGCAACAGAGTGAGACTCTGTCTCAAAAAAAAGAAAAAGAGGATGCTGGAGCTGGAAAGTGGTCTGGAGGTGGAGAAGCATAGGAGATGAAGTTAGATTGGTGACTGGAGGTGAGATCAGGAGGGTCTTGCAGGCCAGGCAGGGCATGTTGGCTTTTCCTCTGTATATTGCAGCCATTGGGTTTGGAGCAGAAGGGCATGGTCTGACTCAGGCTTAGAGAGCCACACTCTGCCTGCTGCACCCACATAAAGCCCTGGTGCATGGTAGGTGCTTAAGAAACATTGGTGATTATTATCAATGTTCTTCAGCTGCACCATTGGACCCTGGAGCTCACTGAGGGCAGGGGCCAGAATGGTCATCTCATGCCTATTATAGTTGGTGCTAAGATAGTTGGTCCTAAGACTGTAGTGGGCTGGGGCAATCATGGAGGACTTCCTAGAAGAGCTGTAGCCTAAATGGACAGATAAGGTTCAAACTGAAGATACTAGGGGTCTATAACTGCAGACACTCCTCCAGACGTGCCCTGTGAGATCACTCCACCTCTGAACCACGCCTGATACCCCACCCCACTATCCACAGGATAATACCTTGGCTTGGCATTCAAGAGTTCCTGTTTCAGAAAGTGGCCTCTTCAGGTATTGCTCTTGAAAACAATAATAAAAGATAAATAAAAGAAAAAAAGTGGCCTCAATCTACCCATCAGCTTTGCCTCTCCCAAGCAGCCAAACCCACGGCACATGCTCTACATTAACCACGCCGCACATTTGCCCATCCAGTGCCTTCGCTCACATTGTTCGCTCTGCCAGGAATTCCCTTCTCTGGCTCCACTTTCTAAACTACTGCCTATTCCTCAACACCTAGCTCGTGACCCAACTTCAGAGAAGTCCCCACCCTCTGATCCCACATCGTCACATACCTGGTGAACTATAAGCCACGTTGGATGCAGTTGGGTTTTGTCTCCTTGGATGACCATTGGGTACCAGTTACACCTCTTGCCCCGGTGTAATTATTAGTCGTGACCCTTTCACTCCCAGATATGTTCCAGCTGGATGGCAAATTAAACAGTCACCCTTCACCACCCACACCTTTCTCCACCCAACTGAAATCCTTTGGGTAGGAACCATGCCTTTGTCAGAGCCCGGCACAGTATTCTGAACGCTGGAATAAAGTCAGTCACTCATACCAGTGATCTTTGAGACACTGGACACTAAACTATGGGGAAGCAAAGCAGCAGAAACATGTGTGCTTGTTCTCCTGCCACATGTGAAAGGAGGTGGAAGAAGGTAAGAAAAGATCATTTCAGAGAGGCCAGGTGCGGTGGCTCACACCTATAATACCAGCACTTTGGGAGGCCGAGGCGGGTGGATCACTTGAGGTCAGGAGTTTGAGACCAGCCTGGCCAACGTGGTGAAACCCTGTTTCTACTAAAAATACAAAAATTAGCCAGATGTGGTGGCGGGCGCCTGTAGTCCCAGCTACTAGGGAGGCTAAGGCAGGAGAATCGCTTGAACCCAGGAGGCGGAGGCTGCAGTGAGCCAAGATAGCACCACTGCCCTCCAGCCTGGGGGACAGAATGAGACCCTGTCTCAAAAAAGAAAAAAAAAAAAATCATTTCAGAGAGTTACAAGTGACATGGAAAAAGTCATGAAGGGAGTGGTAGAGGCTTATTTTGGACAGGCTGGGCAGGGAAGGCCTCTGAAGTGGCGTTTGAGGTCTGAATGAATTGAGGGAGCCATGAGATAAGAATATCTGCAGGAGGAAAATCCTAGCTAGGGGAGAGAAAAAAGCAAGTGCTAAAATCCTGAGGCTGGAACATGCTTAGTGTGTTTAAAGAACAGCAGAGAGGCCAGTGTGGGGGGAGCAGAGAGAGCAAAGTGGAGGTGGATGGGAGACGCTGGGAGGGATCAGCAAATGCAGGGCTTTGTTGCCTGCAATAAGGAATATATATATATATATATATATTTTTTTTTTTTTTGAGATGGAGTCTCACTCTTTCACTCAGGTTGGGGCACAATGGCAAATGGTGTGGTCTCAGCTTACTGCAACCTCTGCCTCCCAGGTTCAAGCTATTCTCCTGCCTCAGCCTCCTGAGTAGCTGGGATTACAGGCACCTGCCACCATACCATACCCAGCAAATCTTTCTATTTTTAGTAGGGACGGGGTTTCATTATGTTGGCCAGGCTGGTCTCGAACTCGTGACCTCATGATCCACCCGCCTCAGCCTCCCAAAGTGCTTGGATTACAGGCATGAGCCACCGCGCCCGGACTATAGATACATATTTTTAACCAGTGTAGAGTTTTGGATGGGGAAGTAACATGATCTAAGTTATTTTTCCCCCAGACAGGCAATTTTTTATTTTTTATCATGCATATAGAAAACAAAAGTGTCACAGATCCCCTTGTGACTGGACAAAGCCACCTCAGGAATATTTCTCTGCTTAAAAGAAGCGTTGTCAGTTACAGTGATGTCAATTACAACCTGGCACAAAATCATCAAGACCATCAGGGTCACAGAATTCTTTCTGGAGGTTATCCTTACAGAACATGGTCACAGCTTCCAGTCTGAAGTCCAAGAAAACCGGAACTCTGCTTCTAAGTACAAGGTTATGGTAAAGGCCCCAACAACCTGACAACAATTGTGAATAGTCACATAAGTTCCCAAGTGGCATAAAAAATGTACACTGACAATCTTGCAAAAGTTCTCAACTAAAAGCAACAAGCAGGCCTTTACAGCATAATGCCCCAATGGGCTGAAACACAGGAGGGGATGCATAGGGTCTTACTTAAAAGCAGCAGAAGAAAAGCTTACAACATTAACTTTCTACACACACAAGGTCAGACCAAGAGAGAAAAGCTTTCAAGTTGCAGTGTTCTGTTATTCTTCTAGTTTACAAAATGTATTGGTGAATCAAAAATGTTAGCAAGGGCTGGGCACGGTGGCTCACACTTGTAATCCCAGCACTTTGGGAGGCCAAGGTGGGAGGATCCCTTGAGCCCAGGAGTTAAGACCATCCTGGGCAACAAAGCAAGACCCTGTCTCTACAAAATTTTTTTTTAAAAAAGCTGGGCATAGTGGCATACACCTGTAGTCCCAGCTACTTGGGAGGCTGAGATGGGAGAATTACTTGAGCCCAGGAGTTCGAGGCTATGATTGCATCACTGCACTCCAGCCTGGGCAACAGAGTGAGACCCTGTCTTGAAGAAAAAAAAAATCGGACAGGCACAGTGGTTCACACCTGTAATTTTAGCACTTTGGGAGGCAAAGGTGGACAGATTGCTTAAGCCCAGGAGTTCAAGATCAGCCTGGGCAACATAGTGAGACCCTGTCTCTATTTATTAACCAAAATCAAGGGCTCTCCTCCTTCCACCATCTCTCAGTCATCCTGCCTTTTCAACTGGCTCTGGCTCCTTTTGTACTTCCCTGCCAAAAGCACCCTCCACATTATTTTGTGATAAGGCCTCCCCAGGTCCTAGGGAACAGAAGATAAGGCCTTCCATGGGAAGGGGCCTGCATATGGTCACCACCACCCCTTCCCCTAAAATGAAATGGAGACAAACAGCTCTGCAAGCAGGGGGAGGGGGGGTGGGCAGCTTAGCTCTTGTACCTAGAGGGGTTTAGACTTGGTGGAAGGGTAAGAAAGAGTTGGGGTTAGTCTAAAAGAACACAGCATAAAATGGAATATTAACTATCCCCGCCCTGGGGACTTCCTGGTCTCTCTGTTCAGCAGCCTTGGGCTGTCCCCTTTGGAAGATTCTAGGCCTTGCTAAAGTGGGTAAGGTATCGGGGAAGAGAGAATGCTGGCGGTCTACAGGGCAAGCCCTCCCTCTCTGGAGATGAAGAGAGGCAAACTCAACACGAAAGTCTTTCTTGTTGAGTTTAAGAAAAAATCTTTTTCTTCAGTTGTTATTTTTTGTTTCTAAGCCATCATTTAAAGAAAAAAATGGTGTGAGATCTGGGTATGGATAGACAGGCCCCAGGACCAGGAAGACCCCCCTCCCCAGCACCCACAGCCTGGCAGCCTAACAGGTAGAGGCAGGGGGGCTGGCAGAGCACCTGGATTCTGTGGGGTCCAGTAACTGGGGCTCAGGAGGCAATCCTGTCCTTGCCCCTGCCTCACTCACATGCCCAGATAGGCCAGTTTGGCAGAGTTCCTGGGGATTAGGGGCTGTCCTGTGCATTGGCAGGTGGCCCACCTGGGTCCACAAGCAGCTAGGGGGGTTCCTGTAGACCTGGGAGCGAGCAACAGGGCGATGGTTGCCTGGGCAAAACTCATGGGAAAGGAGATGGCCAGGCATTGCTGGGGCATGGCACAGACCCTCACAAGCTAGTAGCAGGCTGTGATCTCAGACCACCGTGGGGCAGGAGGAGCAGTATGATCACAAAGAATGTGCTGTCCACTGCTTCATGCCCTTGACCTCACCCATGCCCAGCAGACAGCTGTGTGCTCATCCTGCCAGATACTCAAGAGTCCACTTGGTGGTAGCCTGTGGTCTTGAGGCCATGGAATGTCCAAGTCTGGGTGGCACCCGGCACCAAATGAACCCACTTCATCTTGGGTAATGAGACTCAGCTTACCACAGCCCGGATGTAGAGCTACTGTGAGCACGACCAGCACGCATGTGAAGGCCAGCAGGCTGGAGTCTTGAAGCACAGGCCTCAAAGAGGCACTGTCCTCCAAGTAGTGACTTGTGGGTGCCCTCGTCAAAATTGGCTGGGATGGCCATGGTCACAGGTCCACGCCATAAAGATTATGGCAGTGCACATCCACAGCACTGGGTACTTAGTGTAGAGGTAGTGGCATGTGACAGCCACGTGATGTTAACACAGAACAGCATGAGGCCATATGGAAACAGTAGAGACTGGCCACGAGGGCCACAATCTGAGAGCTGAGTCCACCGAACATGCAGAGCCGGAGTGCACAGAACACACAGCAGACAGCAGAGCGTCCACCACGGGCCTGAGCCCGGATCCACCACACACAGGAGGCATGAGGGAGCCTTACCTAGGCTCCACATCCCAAGGCAGCACTTAGCCAGACTGGAACCCGTAGGGCCTAGAAGGGGCCTCTGTGGGCCACCTTGCAAGGCCTCCCCTGGCTCTGCAGGGCCTATCCCCCAGCAGGTAGTACTGCAGGGGGTTGGGCCACAGGTCATCTTTAATAATCTGGGCAACCCTGTCGGCCTCTGGGAGGCTGTGCTGTGAAAACCAGCTGAAGAAGCTTCGGACAGTGTCCCGGTTTCTGTGTACGAGGGCCGGGGGTTCCTGGCCCCGGTGCCATCGGATGCGAGTCGCAATAGACACCACTCGGCCTGAGGCTCTGCGTTCATACTCCTTCATTATCACCTTGTTCTGGAAGTAGGGGTTGCTCCAAAAGCGGAACTTGAATTTGCAACCTGTCCTGGAGTGCCTGAGCTCCCTCACCTCCAAATTCATCAGGTAGCAGAGCATGTCTTCATCTCGAAGGCTGATCATGGCTGACAGCTGCGGGTGGTTCAGGAAGGCAGTGACCCAGAAGCCCGGAATATTCTGGATGATGAAGCTCCTACGGGCAAGGTGCAACCTGTGCATCCGCCGAAACCTGCGCTCGAGCCGGAGGTAGGCCCTGTCGGCCTGGGCGCTCACGGCCTCCAGTGGGTCCACAATTAGGGCACCAAGGTTCAGGAGCCCCGGGCCCTCCTGGGCCTCCGCTCCCACCTCCTGCTTCTCCTCCCCCACCAGCTTCTCCCCCACCTGCTGCTTCTCCACCTCCTCCGCTGGCTCCTCCTGGAAGATGGCGCCCTCCTCCATGGTCGCGTCCTCGGCCTTCTCGCCGGCTCCCGCCCGAGCCCCTAGCCCCTCTGAACCACAGGTTTCTGGGGCTTCGTCCCGGACCCGGCCGTTTTCCAGGCTCGGAGTAGTCGCCGCGGAGGCAGCTTCCCCGCGCCCGAGGCAAAGGAGGGCGGTCCTGGGGCCCGCTGCGGGGTGGAGGGACCTGCGCCCCCCAGCTTCTCGGGCCCAGGCCGCGGGGGCCGTGTGCGCGTCCCCCTCCCGGGCAGGGCCGGGCGGCGGGCGCGCCGCGGCTTCCGGAGTCCCCGCCCTCTCGTCCGCCATCGCCTGCGGGAGCCTCTGACCCGGAGGGGCTCGGGGCGCGCGGGCGACTGCGGCCTAGGCGAGAGGTGCGGCAGGTGGCGGGAGGACAGAGGGCGGAAGGCTCCGCCCCACGCGTCCCCCTCTCGGATGTGATTCGCCGGGGTCCCCCGCAGCCGGGGCGAGCGGCCTGGAGGCCCGGAGGAGGGGTACGGGACTGCCCAATGGGGACGCGACCGCGGGCGCCAGACGGAACTGGCCCCAGATTCGTTGGCGCTGGCGGTGGAGGTGGGGAGAAGTGTGTACCAAGCAAGGATCAGCTCGGAGCAAACACCAGGGGACAGGCCCAGTCCCTGGCCCTGGACAATTAAAACTTCCCCATCACAGCCACCACGCCAGGCGATTGCTCAATGTTCCCCATCTGCGGTGGGAAGGCAGGAGTCGCCCGGCTTCCAGACTCCAGTGGCGCTTTTGGGCAGTTGTAGGACATTCAGCTTTGCACAGGATAAATTAACTCAGGCACATGCAGAGGGCTTAAGAGGTATCCTCTGCAAAGACTGACCAAACTTAAACTGGGAGCGGCAGATAATCTTCTGACACACAAAGGTGATCAACGCATTCATGTAGGGAAAGCAGGTGCTTGAAATATTCATGTGGGGAAAATAAGGTCAGAGTGGAAGAATCTGGGGTGAGAGAGGGTCTTAAATGCTACAAACCAGGGAGCGAGTGGGCATCTGCCTGGTTTCTCCAACAGGAGTTGGTTCCTCCTGGGCTGGCTGGCAGAAGCCTGGTGGACCTTGCTTCACTTTGTCCTAGGCCCAAAGACTACCCTTCCAAAGGTGGACTCTAGCCTGAAGTGCAGGGACTGAACCTGGTAGGCTAAGGGCTGGATTGGCCAGCCCTCGCAGTCCTTGATCCTGCAAATCTGTGTTCCTCTGGTCTCAGCTCCCAAACTGTGACCTGTGGAGGTCAGTACCTCTAATCCCCCCACCTCTGCCTGGAAGTCTTTGCCACCTCTTCCAGAAAGCTTTCAGCCTTTTCCTGACCAATGGATACAACAGTTCCCTCATCTGAGCCCTCAGACCTTACTGTGGTATACACTCCCTAGGGAGCAAGGTAGATTTCCTTAGGGTCCTAGCTAGGGTTTTAACCTATTGGGGTGGACAGTAAACATGCGTCAAGTGGAAGGCCAACGATGAAGGGTCAGCCCACTTCCTTTGTACACAAAACACCTGCACTTGTTAATGGCCCCACAGGCTCTTGGGCTGGACTCCAAGTGACTTGCACTACTTGGCCATGGACACTGGCTCCAGACCACAGAAAAGCCAGTTCAGTCTGAGCCCCTGATGGGAGGATTTCAGCACAAGGGTTGGTGCCCAAGATGGTGGTAACGACCTTCATTAGAGACCACCAAGCTCAGGTGAAGCCATGTAAGCCTCTCAGCAGTCTGCCTGAACCTGGTTGGACACAAGTGTAGGTAAGGTCTGGTCCTAGCTGTCACCAGCTGTGCACCTTGGGCAGTGACTAGGGTGAACATTTGTCCTTTCTTGGTCAACCAGCATCAATTCCTCATCCTAAGAGTGCCCCAAATTTCTTTTGAGAAACCACTCCTCCTGTCTCAGCCTTGTTGTCAGGGGCATATGGTAACTGGTTTGGGGACGGCACAGAATCCCATCAAGGCCAGTGAAACAGGATGCTTACTGGGGCTTCTGTGGCAAGTCCTCTCCTGAGAGCCCGGAAAGGGCTGCTTCCTTCTGGTCGGCAATGTGTGAGAATGGCAGGTCTGGAATCCAGGCAGCATTCTGCTCACTCCCACACAAAGGGGAAATCTACTTTGTAGGGCCTGTGGATGAAGTCACAACTGCACAAGACAGGGCAGAGAGAAATAGGAATGCTGAGGCCAACCATGCTGGAGCCACAAGATCAAGCCTAACCTAAAGACTGCTCTACGTCTGGCATTTTCCAGTTACATGCAATTTCACTGTTTAAAGCCAGTTTGATTTTGGCTGACCCTTGCATCCAAGATGATTGATAGAATTATGCCACTTACCTCAAAGACATGCAAATAAGATATTTAGCTTAAAAGTACAAAGCTTGTAGGTGCTGATGGGAGGGGTTTTTACTGTCTGCCCTACACTCACCATCATCTTGGATGCTAAAGATGTCTGGAGACTCCAATTCTTCCCAATTCCAGGCTGTCTCCAACCCTTTCCCAATCAGACAGGTTCACAACTCCCAAACACATCATTCAGAAGTTTTTAATAAACAACTTCATTATAAAAACCTTTTTTTGAAAATGTAATTCTGTAAAACATTGAAAAATCTACTTTAACAAAGATATGCCCTGTGCATTTTCTAATGGCACTTATACTTTACAATTAAAAACCTTGTTTTATATAAAGCCAAAAATACTCCAAGAGGTTATTCACTGTGTTTACAAAGTGCTAGAAGATTTCTGTCTTGTATTTTTCTCTTTAAATAATCTGGAGTTACAAAGCCTTGACCGCTGGTAGGGAGGGAGAAGCATGAGAAGTGGTGTCTCAGGAGTTCTAGTGCCAAATATGCAGAGGTGGAGAGGTGCACGTGGGAAGCGTGAGCTGAGGAAGTCAGCCGGCACACAAAGAAGTCGGCCTGGAATGTTTCCAAGCCCTCCAGGGAGGCACAAGACTATCATGGTGAATGAGCGCCCTTCCCTCACCACAGGCCCTACTCTCCAGAGGCGAAGGCCACGGCCAGTTCCTTCCACAGCAGGTTCACAGCTCCAGGAGAGGCCAGGGTGGGGTCCCAGAGGAATCTGGACTTTTCTGGCCAACACCTGCCTAAGGCAAAGTTTCTTGTTACATAAATATCCTTGTTAAAAAGTAAAATATTGATCCTGTACAATATAACCTGTTAAAAAATCGTGCTTACAAACAGCTCCTAGATAAGAGGGGAGGTGGAGAGAGGACGGAGAAAACAGCTACCAAAAAGGCAGGGGGGAATTTAAAGGACTACTAGGGAAAGCTTTAGGGCAGTGGGAGAATTCCAACTTAGGACAATATCTACGAGCAAAAAAGTAATCACACCTGCTTCCCGGATTTCAATTAAGAAAATGCCATTTGTAAAAGGTTGGGGAGGGGGCAACCTCATTGGTGCTCCTTTCCCTGCCTCCCACCTCAAGATGATGCAGAGATCCTTTGAGCTGACACCTGGGCATGTCATCCCCTTACCCCCAGGGCTGCACTCAGCCCTGACCAGCTACTGTGTAGAGTGGGAGGGAGACAGCCCATTGCTGACAGAGGCTGGAGGTGGCAGGGAAAGGGGACATCACCCCTTTTTTTCCTGGTCCCTCATTGGTCTTTGCCATATGCCATGGCTCGTGTCCTGGGCAGATGTCCCTCAGGTTCTCATGGCCTCAGTAAGCATACTGAAGTGAGTTTGGGTACTGAGTATAGGATAAAGCTATTCTTATCCTTTGAACAACCAGGCCACTAAGGCTTTTTTTTTTTTCTTTTCCCCTCCACCCCCTAGATTTTAGGAAGGGAGGTTTAAGAAATGACTGGCTAGCTATGGTCCAAAAAAAAAAAAGGTGAAGGCAGATATCATTCCTCTGTACCAGCAAAGTTCACAGTGATAGGAAAATTCCTTGTGGGTGCTGAGGACACTAAGGGAGGAGAAAAGGAAAGACAGGATAGATGGGAGGACACGGGAATGGGGAAGGCAAGGAGAAAAGACAGGGGGTGGGGGCAAGGCCCCAGTTACAAGGGTTTAAACAGTTGCTTTGCCAGTCCTATGACTTTCCCAGCATCACTTACGGGGAGAAAGAATTCGAGGGAGGGACAGGAAAGGGCAGGCAGAGAGGAAAGGACTCCTCTAACAGCCCAGGACTTTGTATTCTGCAGCCAGAGGCTCAGTGGCCTCTGTAAACTGAGGGTCTAGGGAAGGTGGCCGTTAAGGTGAGAAGGGTTGCTGGGTCTAGTAATGAAAACCAGATACAACAAGGAGGATGGCAACAGCGAGTCCCAACTGGATTCTCACATACTATCGCCTGTAATACAAGTCCCAATAACATGCACAGCATGCAGGAGGTGGCTGCGTACCAAGGTAGACGCTTTTAAAAATAAACCTTAATTAGTCCCTGGGACTCACTGAAACTAATTTTTAGAAGCAAATCATCTAGTCTGATTCTAACCTTGCCAGACATTTTAATATCTGGTTTTGTTTTTTAAAAAGTATCCCAAGCTACCCTGCCTAAATCGAAACACACTTATTCCAAATTGCTTCCAATCAAGGGCTAGGGAGCTAAATTTTAAGGCTTTTACCTCAAACAAGGAGTACTGGCTTGGGCTGAAGCAGAAGCCTGAGTCCTGGACCTGCTCAGTTCCTGATGACAAACCAAGTGAACCTAGACAGAAGTTGGGTGAGGGAGAACTGGTAGGAGGCTGAGGCAGTTCCTTGGTAGTTTGTCCTGAAACCCTAGTGGAGAAGTCAGCAGGAGGCACCTACTGAGAGAAGTGCCCAGAAACTGCTGACTGCATCTGTTAAGAGTTAACAGTAAAGAGGTAGAAGTGTGTTTCTGAATCAGAGTGGAGGCGTCTCAAGGGTCCCACAATGGAGGTCCCTGAGCTGCCTCCCTTCCATGAGTGGGAAGAGTGAAGCCCATGAAGAACTGAGATGAAGCAAGGATGGGGTTCCTGGGCTCTGGGCAAGGGCTGTACTCTCTGCGGTAGGGAGCCCCACAAGTCAGAAGAGAAGAACTGATCATTTGTTGCAAGAAACCTTGCTGGATACTGGGGGAAAACTGGAGGCGGGGGCGGGGGCACAAGGAAGTAGAAGTGATTTGACGGACAGCAGAGAAGCCTATGCACAGTGGCCGAGTCCACTGTAAAGTGGAAGAGACAGAAGGGACATTGCGGATAAGGAAAATTTTGGTTTGGGACACAACAATGTACCCATAGATATCTGCCCATTAGCTATCCCTTAGCTAATCTGCCCATTCCTTTCTGCAAACTCTTCTTCCAACAATTCCACAACTTCCTGGAAAAGGGACAGGTGGGAGGAAGACAAATGAAGGGCTCAGACCTCCTCCTTCGCTATCCACACCAACCCAGACTCTGCTTCCAAGACTAGTAACAACAGCTCATGATGTTCAAGGTGGGGACTAAGGGATGGGGAGGTGACGGATATGGGCATGCCTTTCATTTCTTCCCCTCTCCAGTTCAAGAGAAGGATGAGGGGGTCATAATGTACTTGGAGAAAAACAGAATTGCAGACCTGTGAGAAAACTGCTCCAATCTTCTTGCCTGTCTTCTGTGGACACTGCCGAGGCAGGCAGGAACAGATGCAGTCATGGAAGATGGCAGAGACTGGAGCAGTCCAAACTCAGTTTATTTCCCCACGGGGGAAAAATGTGACCTCAAGTGAAGAGAAGTCAGCAAGACCCGACTCCGCCTTGTAAACAGGACTCCAGTTAACACCAGGTACCAAATGGTTCAGGCTGGTGCCAACTGGAACGGACTGATGGGAATGGATTCACGGTGTGTAAACAGTGTTCACTGCAATCATTCTAAGGCTAACAGCTTGGCAAGGGAGGTGAAATGGTGTGTCTGAGGCGACTGTGTAAACGGTACCGTTGCTGGACAACACTGACTGAAAATGGAGGTGCTGGTACAGGATGCATGGGTGGGTGGGAAATAAAGGCCTTCTCTCCTGCCCATTGGTTGGAAGCAGGCTATGGAGCCAAGTGACCTTCTACAGCAGGGCCTGACCAACTGACTGCTGTGGGGTCTGCAGGTTGGGACCAGAAGGCGGGCTTCTTGGGCAATTTCTCTTGAGGTCATCCAAGGTGAAACCCTCTGTGTCTCCAAGAGGCCTCCCCATTCTCCAAAGAGGAGGAGGTTCTGGCGCTTTGGAGAGGCAGAGGGCTAAGTGTGGCTCCCGATTCAGGTCAAAAAAATAAAAGTAAAAAATACCTGAAGTCCTATGGTATGAGATCTTTTCACAGGGTTGGGGCTCAAGGCTCCTTCTGGAATTGATCCTGGAGCCTGAACCCCCAAACCAAGTGCTCCATACAGACACTGGAATTTTTTTTGAACCCAGCTCTGAAAGCTCAGCTGCCTTCATGGGGGACACGGATGGGGTGGGTACTAAGGCTCCCTAACAGAGCCAAAAACTGAGCTGAGGGCCTCTGTGGGGGCTACTGGAATGCTTGGTGGAAACGAGGCAGGGTGGTGCTACTCAGGCCAGACGTGAAGACAGGAGGCAAGGAGTGCAGAGGCCCAAAGTTCAGTGGTCCCCCAGCTCCTGGGGAATCTTGAGGCTGAGCTTGCAAAGTGGTGAGCAGGGGCTGTGCCTCGGCCTGGGAGTAGCCCATGACCAGGCCTCCTGTGGCCCCAGGTGGGTTACACGGGGGCAGGTTGAGTGGAAGAAAGCCCAGTAGGTGGGAGAAGTCCACATTAGCAGCGCAGAGGGCCTCAGAGAGGTTGGCGGGGCTCTTGGCAAGCAGTGCTTCATCTAGGAGGGCCGCAGCTGCCGCCGGCTGAGGTGAGGCGGGCTGGGGTTCAGCGGATGAGAGAGACAGGCTTCCAGGAAGCTCCGCCAGAAAACTATCCACCTCCACTTTGGGCAATTTGTCGGGCAAGTATGAGGTAGATCCAAGCTGGTATTTTGGAGGGAGCTGAGCTGGGGAAGAGATAGGTGAGGATTCCAGAGGGTAGCTCATACCCATGGGCAGCGTGTTGTGCACCAAGGAGTGTGGCATGCCCGTGCTGGGCATGGTAGGGATGTGGGCACCATACATGCCCATGGGCAACATGCCAGGGAAGGCCTTGGTCCCCATTACGTCCCGAGAGGCCATGCACAGCACAGGGCTCAGCTCTTCCTTCACACTGACTGTGGAGCTGCAGCTGAGTAGGCCTAACATGTCCACGGGCTCTGTCTTGATCTTGAGCAGCTCCTGCGAGTGGCTCTTCTTGACATGACGCGTCAGGTGGTCCTTACGGCCAAACCGCTGGGCACAGTACTGGCACAGGAAGTCCTTACGGCCTGTGTGCACCACAAGGTGCCGCCGTACATCCTTACGAGTATAGAACCGCCGGTCGCAGTGGTCACAGGGGTGCTTCTTCTCCTTGGCACCGCCTGCTACCCGGCGTGAGTGGGCCTTCAGGTGCTCTAGCAGGGCCTGGGTACTCTCAAAGGTCTGCAGGCACACCTTGCAGCTGAGGTCACCGCTGCTGGCAGCATGCATGGCCAGGTGGCGCCGGTAGCCCAGCTTCGTATTGTAATTCTTACCGCACTCAGAGCAGTGGAGGGCCTCTTTGTTAGGGTCATGGGTCTGCAGATGGTTCCGCAGATGGTCCTTGCGGTGAAACATCTTATCACAGTACATACACTGGTGGGGTTTCTGGGCTGAGTGGGTGGCCATGTGCCTGGGGGTAGAGACGGGGAGAGGGGAGAAAGCAGAAAAAGGGGAGATCACAAGGGATGACTGGACAACCAAGGTGTCCATTAACAGGAAACTAGATACAAAAACTATGGTAAAGGCTTGCAATGCAATACCAAACCAATTATATTCTACAGATATCCTTGCTTATCTGCAAAATAATGTGTACCAATATTCTTTGCAGCATTCCTTGTAGTAGCAAAAAAAAAAAATCAGAAACAATCTGATCGTCCAATCTATCAATAGGGAACTGGTTACATAAATTATAAGTCCATAAAATGACTAACTTTTCAAAAATGAGGCTTTATGTGTACTTACAGGGAACATGCTCCTAAGAGACAGGAAGTAGAAAAAAAGGAGGCAGAATAGTGGATACAGAATAGGACTCTATGTGAAAAGGGGAAAAATATATGTACATTTGCTTGTATATGCCTAAAATATTTCTGGAAGGATATACAAGAAACTGATACCAGTGGCTGCCTATGCAAAAAAGAACCGAACAGCTTATGGATGGGTGTCATGGAGAATTTTCATCATATAAGTTTTGATACCTTTTGAATTTTGAATTACGTGGATGTATTTCGTTTTTCAAACATTACATTTAAATAATTTTAAATGATACAATAAAGAGAAAATGAAATATATCTAAACTTCCAGTCTGGGCACAGTGGTGCACGCCTGTAATCACAGCACTATGGGAGGGCGAGGCAGGAGGATCGTTTGAGCCCAGGAGTTCGAGACCAGCCTGAACCATAGCAAGACCTTGTCTCTACAAAATCGTAAACATTAGATGGGCATGGCAGCACGCACCTGTAGTCCTAGCTACTCAAGAGGCTAAGGCAGGATTACCTGAGCCCAGGAATTCGAAGTTGCAGTGAGCTATGATCGCACCACTGCACTCCATCCTGGCTGACAGAGCGAGACTTCGTCTCTAAATAAATAAATTAACTTCCTTATCTAGAACAAATTTCCAAGATATGCAGGGCTAAGTCAAAAAAGGAAGTTCAATACAGTGCATGTAATACAATCTTTTTTGAAAATAAAAAAGAAAGGGAATATACATGTTTGAATGTCTTAGGAAAGATACACAAAAACCAACCCACCAGCTGCCTTTGGGGAGAGGAACAGGGACTTCAAGTGTGAGGACCATTCACTCTTCATGGCATGCCAGTTAGTACCACTTGAAGTGCTTGTCATGTAAACCAGTAACACTTAAAGAAATGTTTTAATGGTATGGCACTTCAGTGTCCCTTGGTTTACCTGATCCCATACGGTTGAAAAGTGGCTCAGAATCCAGGAACTGCAATTCACAGCTCCAGAGCATATTCAGAATCAACTCAGCACCCACTGTTTGCCAGGCTCTGCGTAAGTTGTGTCATTAACCTTGATCTCCAGACAAGGAAAGAAGTCTAAAAAATAAGGCGGCCCCCTCACCCGCCAGTTGGTAAGTAGCAGAGGCTGGATTTAAACAGGCCTTCGGAAGACCTGTGTTCAGTCAGGTATGCAACAGTTGTCTCTCTCGTACAGCACTCTGTGATCCTTTCCACCTGGAGGGTATCAAACACACCCACTGCCCACATCCCACATGTGCATGCTCAAGAATGCTCATGCCTGTGTGGGTTACTGTCAACCTCCTGTAATGGAACTGACATGGTAATGTAGAGAGGGAGGTGCTTAGTGATCCACTGTTCATTTCCCTCATTTTGCAGGTGAGGAAACTGAGGCCCAAGGAGGTTTAGTAACTCACCTAAGATCACACAGTAAATTATACGTGATGAGTCAGGGCTCCTGCCTCCTGACCCAGGACCTTTCCTGCAGCCGCCCACTGATAACCAGACCATCATTAAGAAAGTCTAAGAAGGCTGGGTGCAGTGGCTCATGCCAATAATCTCAATACTTTGGGAGGCTAAGGTGGGGGGACTGCTTGAGGCCAGGAGTTTGAGACCACTCTGTGCAACACAGGGAAGAGACTCTGTCTCTAGAAAATGTACAAAAATTAGCGGGTGTGGTGGTGGTACATGCCTGTGGTCCTAGCTACTCAGGAGGCTGAGGCAGGAGGATCACTTGAGCCCAGGAGTTTGAGGCTGCAGTTAGTTATGATCACGCCACTACACTCCAGCTTGGGCAAAGGTGAGACCCTGTCTCAAAACCAAAAAAAAAAAAAAAGCAAGCCTAAGAATATGGCTTTGACTGGAGTTCCCTTAAGATATAGGAGCACACAGAGAATCTAAGCACTCGTGAGGACCACAGAACAACTGTCAAGAGGGCAATCCTGGCTACCACACTACCCTGTTGCCTATTTTAGTCCCTTCCTATTAACTGTTTTCCAGATGAGGAACTGAGGCTTTGTGGTCATCTTGTTCATGTATTTACTTGTTTACTGTCTGTACCCACTATTAAGACCATAAACCCAAGGAGGGCCAGCACCCCTATCTGACTGGCTCACTCCTCTACCGCTTGCACCGAGCACTGTGCCTGGTACAGAGCAAGAGCTCAATAACGTTGGGTAGATGAATGGATAGTTGGATGACTGTGCATCAGGCCAATCTACCTCATTTCTAAAGGGCAAGCTCAAGGTTCCTCTAACGTGAAAAGGATAAAATCAAAATTGCCCTTTTTTTTTTTTTTTTTTTGAGACAGTCTCGCTCTGTCACCCAGGCTGGAGTACAGTGGCACAATCTCAGTTCACTGCAACCTCCTTCTTCTGGGTTCAAGTGATTCTCCTGCCACAGCCTCCCAAGTAGCTGGGACTACAGGCATGCACCACCACACCCAGCTAATTTTTAAAAATTTTTAGTAGAGATGGGGTTTTGCCATGTTGGCCAGGCTTGCCTCAAACTCCTGGCCTCAAGTGATCCGCCCACCTCAGCCTCCCAAAGTGCTGGGATTACAAGTGCAAGCCACCATGCCTGGCCCAAAATTGCTTTTGACCATGCCTGCCTGTCTTCACCAAAGCAACCAAAGCTGCTCTTCTCTATCTGCCTTATGTCAGGACTTTTACATTTAATTTCACTTTAAGTAGGGGTTCTTGGGCTTACAAGTTTCAGAAAAGCAGCTGCCCCAGTGGGCAACAGGGACACAGACATAGTTAAATGAGTAAGTAGCAGGCTGATTCAGTAGAAGAGGCACTGCAGGACCTCTGAAGCTGTGTGACCTTGGGTAAGTTACGTCCCTACTCTGAGCCTCTACTTTAAAATTTACAGACTGGGCCAAAAGGTCTACTTCTCCTTCTAAAGTTCGAATACTGATTCCTGATTCCTAACTTCTAGCTAAAATTCTGACCATCACCTGACAAAGGTGAGGAAAGCAATATTTTTAAAAAATGTTCAGGGCTAAGTACGGTGGCTCATGCCTGTAATCTCACAGCTTTGGGAAGCCAAGGCAGGAAGATCACTTGAGCCCAGGAGTTTGAGACCAGCCTGGGCAACACAGCCAGACCCCCATCTCTACAAAAAATTAAAAACATAATCAAGTGCAGTGGTTCAAGCCTGTAATCCTAGTTACCTGGGAGAATGAGGTGAGAGGATCACTTGAGCCCAGGAATTAGAGGCTGCAGTGAGCTGACTGCACCACAGTACTCTAGCCTGGATGACAGAGCAAGACTCCCATCTCTTTAAAAAAAAAAGTTCAAGGCTGCCTGACATTAGCACCCAGATCGTTACTAAGAAGGTGTAAGAAGGCCGGGTGCAGTGGCTCACGCTGGTAATCCCAATAGTTTGGGAGGCAACCCATCAGATTCTAGTGTCTGAATCAAGCAATCTGAATCAATTTTTAGAGAGTGACTTCAACTGTTTGGCATTCAGGGTATACTTGTAGGACAAATTAACCTCCACTCTTCTGCCACAGATTAAAAACCCACTCTAGGCAGAGTCTCCCTGCTTTTTCCCTCTGGGAACCACAGGGCAGGAAGAGAGATGAGAGTGTCACCTACCTATACAGCTTGTATTTGGAAGCAAAAGCCTTGCCACAGTGCAGCTGAGGGCAGCTATATGGTCTCTGCTCTGGTTGCGGAAGGGTGTGAGGCCTCAGCTTCTCCCCATTTGAGAAAGGTGTCCCCGAAATTTCACATTGGCACTTCACTTGACTCTCCGCCTCCCGGCCCCGAGGCCTGGGAACTAGTTTCCAGCCCACTTCCTCCTCCTGCTTTGCATCTTGAATCCAGGGGGGGACGCTGGTGAAAAATGTGGTCATGGCAAGGCTAATGGCAAAGGGCCATGTTATTGAGAAAGCCTCTCCATCCACTCCACACAGGCTCTCAGCTCTGTCACAGCCTCCAACGCAGCTTTCAGAAAACAATCTCTTCACCTGAAACATCAGAACACCTGGTGTTAGGGAGCCCAATATCATGAGAACATGGGCTCTGGAGGCAGACAGATCCCGTTCCAATCCCAGCCCTTCCACTTAGAAGCTGTGCGACTTTCAGCCAATTACTTACTTCCCTGAGTTGTTTCCTCATTTATAAAATGGGCATAATAATCTCTTAAATTGTAAAAATGTTTTGAGGATTACATGAGATCATGAATATAAAGCATTCAGCAGAAGGCTGGGCATCCATTAAGTCCTTAGTGGTAGCTACTATTACTAGTACCATTTAGGCTAATAAGAAACAAGATAAACTGAAGAACCAAAAGCCCCAAAACTTCAAACTTTTTCTTCTGGACCTCACTTTTATATCCTTTCCACTGAACCTAGAGATAGCGGTTCCTCCTTCTCATTACCCTGGCACCTCCTCGTCCACTACTTTCCACAATTCTCCTCCTCATGGAGGTGCTAAGGAGCAATAAAATGCCCAAAAGGCAAGAAAGGAGGAAGGGGAAGTCTCTGCTTAGGAAATTTACATCCTGGATAGTCAGCCCTGGTACCAGATGTGTTTCTTAGCAGTGCATCAACATCAGGAGGGTCTGTCTGGGAAGGCAACAGCAGATTCCTAGCATTTTCCCTAAACCAGGACTGGTCCCATCCTGACCACCACCACTTCTTTGGGTCTCTGTCTCAGGGCCCAGACCATCCCTCTTTAGCAAAGCCTGTCCAACACCCCTAGGTGCTGAGGGGCCCCTCCTACAGGCCCTCAGAGTACATATGCACATCTCCATTAGAAGAAGGTAGTAAGCTCGCATTGGAATTTACTCCTCTCCACCAGCCTGATTATTTGAGGGCTTGCATCATCTCTCTTTCATCTCTATATACCTAATATCTAAAAAAGGAACCTCAACTTTATTTCAGATAGGTTAACTAGTCACTGAATGCAGGCTGATTCTCAGGGACCAACCTATGCCCAGGTAGTTCTGGTTTAAACTGGGTTCGCAGCCATTCCCAAGTGGGGAGCCAAAATCTTAAAGTCTGATTCTTTCTCTTGTTGAATAGAAGGGGAGATGTGCAAGGATGACACAACTCCTTTCCGGATACCAATCCAGAGGAAGAGGATGGGAGTTACCACATTGACTCTCAAAAGGGGACGAGACCCACATTCATACTCTCGAGCTTACCACAGATTACCAACCACAATGCAACCTGCTACAACAGGGGGATTCCCTTTGAAGAGATCGTGCCAAAATTTGATCATGAGGCTTTTCCATGTGAAGAGAGAAAAAGGGGTGTCTGGGGATTATCCACGAGAATCTGGGGAGGGCTCCAACTGCACAAACTAGCTGTGGGCCACAGAATGCTTGCTCAGCTCATTAGCACCTGCTGCTTACAGTGATCATTCATCCAACAGACTGGCCGTGAACAAGATGATGGGATCAGCGGGTTCATGCCCCAGAGAGCTTTGCTCATCATTAACAAGAGCTACGTCCTGTTCAGGAACCATTCCTCTTGTGGAAGAAACACTGCGATGTAATATGATAAACATGTCCCCATCATGAGTGTAGATTTGTCTAGAAAGATCTGCACTAAGGTGGCTGCATTTTGCATGAATCACATGCTGAGGAGGGGTAGGTAGCACTAAAAACCAGTCCCACTTCAGCCTTCGAGTCATTATGGCATATGTGCCTGCTTCACTATAAACCTCAAAGGCCTGTGACGTCTGGCTTTCATTGTTTAAGTCCCCTCCTCCTTTGCAAGGGTGGAATTACCTGTAATACCAGCGATTACTATGCACCTTGGAATTGAGCAGACAGTGTGCTCGAGTGTGCATGTTTAGATTGGAGGGAATTACCCCTACCTTCAAAGTCAAATTTTACTCCCACTTCATTTTGAAATCATGCACCTCAGCCTCTGGAAAGTTGGGAATGGCAGCCAGAAGGAAACAAGTCACATCAGTTTGGCTGATGTGAGAGAGGAGCCTAGCCCTGGAAACTCCACACAAACTCAGAAAGAGAACATTACGTCCCCACCTCCCACACGTCCACCTCATCTGTTCTGAACAAGCACAAACAAGACACAATAGTTTAGTAGGCTGCTACCGAAAGAGTGAGTAATGGGCTTCTAGGAAAGAGGCTGGTGGTGGTTAAGGAGCTTGTACTGATAGAACGAAAGGAGGAAAGCAGCAGCCATGCGCTCACCGTGATCTGCTTTTAATGGAGTTATGTCTTCACAAAGAGCCAACACCCTGATCCTACTCTCCTACACTTTTCAAAAGGCACAGGAAGTCCCTACCTACAGTCACCAGCAGCCTCTTGGATAACCAAAGCTGCTAGTGTTACCTATGAACCCTTTTGGGGATCTAGTCTGCCTCTCTCTCTGCCCTTTGTCTGCAAACTCCTCTGATCCAGAAACATTCCTGGGTTTGTCTCACATAATCAGAAGGTCTGTTCCTTCAGACTTGTCCTTCCTCAGCAAAACTGTGAAAGAATTCTACTTCTCTTTCAAAGCTGCTCTTCTGGTCTCACATTTTAATCTTAACGACTATAGACTACAGAGAAGCTGACAGAACCTGTTTCCATAAAACAAACACAATCCTTCCCAGTTACTGGCATAACTCAGTATATTTGCAGCCTAAGATTCTTTCTAGTGCCTGATCTGAAAGGGGAAAGAACCTTGGACTTGCTATCAGAAGAGCTGCCACTTACTAACCGGGAAACCATAGGCAGTTTACTTTATTTCTCTGAACCTCAGTTTCCTCAATTTCTAAAATAGGGATTTATTTTCCTTACCTGTAAGATTCGTATAGAGGATTAAGTGAAATAATACTCTTGAAAGTGGCTGATACAAAATGTGTGCTGAATACACGCAGTGCCTTCTCTGAGGTCTCAGCTGTGTCTGCCTCTTTTTCCGCATGAGGCCTGAGTAGTACTTCTTTTTTTCCTCTTTAATGTTACTTCTCAGGCCTCAGAGTGAGTTTCCTTCCTTTCCCAACCTCTCCCCCAGAATGCAGTCTTCCCCTTTTCCCTCACAACTAACCCTCGGCACATCCCCTTTAAAGAGCCCTTTACTTTACCTCCCTCTAAGCACCATATCCTGGGCCAGAGTTCTCTCTTGAGCAGACAGCCACTTTCCTATACCCTCTTCTATTATTAGGGCTCCATATCCCAAACAGGAATGCTTGCTAAAAACTGTATGGTCCTCTTCGGAAGCTGAAACTGAGACATATTTCTCTCCAGTCTGTCCATCCCCTGTTATGTGCCATGATGCCTGCTGCCCTCTGATGAAACTATAGTTTTTATGGTGTTACATCATTTCTATAGAAACTGCGTTCTTTCTCCATTATTAGCCTGTTTCCTCATCTGTAAAGCTAAAAATACTTACCTCACAGGCTTGCTGTAAGGATTATTTTAGTGAGGTATGCAAAGGGTTCAGCACAGGGCTTGGCCTGCTAGAAGTACCCAACAAAAGAGAGCTATTATCTTTGTCTTTGTATTGAGTTGCATGTTTCCACCTTCTGCTACCACACTCAAATTCTCCTAACTCCCCCCTAAAAAACTGTTAAGAGATAACATCCCTGCACAAGGAAAGGGTTAATCTTTGAGTGTTCTTAACTAAAGAGACCCACAGAGGATTAACAGCTCCACTTCAGTGACTACCCTAAAATAGCTTTTATCCTCCTGCCCAAGAGTTACTTGGGGATCTGAAGAACTCAATTCAACACCTGCCGGAGGAAATAGACCCGGAACGTTCCTTGGGGTAGAATCTTCCCTAAAGCAGAACCTAAAATAGCAACTGGGAAATTATAAATAGACTTAGAGGAAAGAAAAAAAAAAAAAAAACAGATCCTGATCTCGGAACCAGAAACAAATCCTAAAGACACACTGGTTGGCTGGAAAACAGTGAGAAGAGGGGAAATGGGAATGCTGTCGCCCCCTTCCCCCCGCCCACTCCAGAGTGGTGGGAGAATTAAATTACAGGGAGGCTGGAGAGTCTCAATGACTTGCATCATTCCAAGAAACATCAAACAGGATTAACAGGGGTTGGATTTACTCGCAGGCTGCTAATTCTTCTGTCAGTGTAGATGGGCCCTCTTTAGAGTCCCTTTGATTCACTATTTCCTCAGATTCCTGCTGCCTCCCACTCCTGGGGAGGCCTTGAACAAATGGCTGCAACTCATCACAACCCCATTTTCATGGGGAGAAAACCTGATTCGACACCCCCGCCCCCAATCTGGTGGCCTCACTTTAGGAGAGAAGGGTTAGAAACCCAAGGCCAGACTCACAGTCCCATGGCTGACAGGTGGAAAAACACACAAGCCAGGAGACAGGCTATGCTTGCAGGTGAAAGCACCAATTCCCCCACACACCTGTCCCCATATCCTCCTCCTAACAGGGCCCTTTCTCCCCACCAAGGTGGGCCACAGCCTGGTCCCAGGCCAGCTTTTAGACCACCCCACTGTGGTGTGGGAAAAGTTCAATTTCCCCGAGCCTGGGAGAGATGGGAGTAGATGAGGGCTGGAGAAGCAAGGGAAATTCAGGGAGAAGTCTGGAGGGAGTCTCCGGGATGGGAAGGAAGAGCGAGGATGGGAAGGAATCGTGAGCAAGTTTCCTGGGTCTCTAAGGGATTCCCACAAGAATGAGATGGGGGATTCTAAGGGTTTGAGGGCTGGGGGGTTGGGGATAGTCAGAAGTGAATCCTCCGAATTTCAAGAGGGTCTCAAAATGGGTAACAGGATGGAAGATGTCGAAAGCTTGGGAGTATGGCCACTGAGGAGGGAACTACAGGTGGGGCTTATCCGACTTCTCCAGACCCAGATATTTGAGGGAAGCCTCAAAGGGGGTTACATAAGTCTGAAAAATGAAACAGGGTACAGAGCGGGCTATCTGGAGCAGCAAAGGGGGTTATGTGGGTCTGGGTAGGCGTGTCGGAGGGAAGGAGCAGGTGCAGCTTATCTGCGTCCCCCAGACCCGGGTCCCTGGTAAGGTCAGCAGCGCGTTATCTGGGTCTCCAGGGAGCCTGGGGGTCGGGAGTGGGGGTCCCTCAGGACTGCGTCTCCAGGTCTCGGAAGGGAGGGGATCAGTGGCCTCCTCGGGTCCCCCAGACACAGGTATGGGGTCCAGGGAGAGTTTTCGTCACCCCAGGGCCTATCTGAGGCCAGGTTGGCGCAGACCCGGCCCCGGATCGGGGGTGTGGGCGACCGCGCTGAGGGGCCCGAGATGAGGAGCGCCGCCGCTCCGGGTACAGGG